AACCTTTGACTGAATTTCTGGAGAAGAGCACCCCAGATTGGGTCATATGCGACTTTGCACCACACTGGCTGCCCCCACTGTCTTCCAAGCTGGGTATCCCATGCATATTTTTTTCTAGTTTTGCTGCATGTGCTTCGTCTTTTGGTTTGGAGTTGTTTAAGGGAAAGAAGAGTATGGAATCTGGGGAAGCCAATCTTTTGCGTAATGCGCATAAGAGGACGCAAGTGGGTCAGAGTTCTCCGCCTAAGGAAGTGAATCGGTTCTTAGAAACCCTGAAAGGTGTTCAAGTTTTCGCTACAAGAAGCTGCATGGAGATTGAAGGCGAGTTTGTGAAATCGCTTGAAAGTTTATCTGGGAAGTTGGTAATTCCAACTGGGTTGCTTCCAGCTTCGCCAGAAGACAGCAATGACCACAACTGGCACACCATTCTTAATTGGTTAGATAAATGGGAAAAGGGGTCAGTGATCTATGTAGCATTTGGAACTGAGGTCAAGCTGAGTGATGAAGACTTCACTGAAATTAATGTGGAATTAGAATTGTCTGGTTTTCCTTTTTTTTGGGCTGTGAAGAATCGAAACATCTCAGGTGGTAGTGTTGAGTCACAAGATTGGATTGAGAATGAGTCAAAAAGGGGAATGATTTGGAGAACATGGGCACCTCAGTCAAGGATTTTAGCACACAAATCTGTTGGAGCATTCCTCACTCACTGTGGTTGGAACTCAATGATAGAGGGTCTCCAAGTAGGATGACCACTTGTAATGTTGCCATTCCAATATGATCAATGGTCAAATGCTAAGTTTATGGAGGAGAAGAAGGTAGGAGTTAAAGTACACAGAAATGAGCATGATTCCAAGTTAACTAGGGATTCAGTGGCCAAGGCACTAACATCAGTGATGACGGAAGAGGAAGGGAAATATCTTAGAAAAGAAGCACAAGAGATGAGTAAAATAGTTGGGGACAAACAACTGCAACTAAAATATGTGAATGAGTTTGTTGATTACATGAAAAACAATAGGTCTGGCTGTAATTAGTATAATGGCAAGTTNTTGCTTAACAGGAAAGCAAATCCGAAGGCCATTCCAATCATAAGTGCAAATGTGATCCAAAGAATTCCTAGAAGTGGTGCATTCGGACATCTATGGACCGTTCGGTGTTCCCTCATTAGCTGGAAACAAATACTTTCTTATATTTATTGATGAATGCAGTAGAATGTTATGGGTATACATCATCAAGATGAAGCATGAAGCCTTAGAAGTGTTCAAGAAATTTAAAGCCTGTGTGGAAAGAGAAAGTGGAAAGCATGTAAAAATCCTCAGAACTGATGGAGGAGGAGAATACACTTCTCATGATTTTGAAGAATATTGTCAGAATAGTGGAATCATACATGAGGTGACAGCACCGTACACACCCCAACATAATGGACTAGCAGTAAGGAGAAACCGAACGGTGATGAACATGGCCAAGTGTCCCATAAAGGAGAAGAGCATGCCACAAAACTTCTTGGCAATGGTCGTCTCGATAGTTGTTCATATCCTCAATAGGTGTCCGACCAGACGACTTGAAGGCAAGGTATCACTGGAAGTGTGGTCAGGTAATAAACCTTCGGTTCATTATTTTAAAGTGTTTGGTTCTCTTGCATTTAATCATGTTGTAGATCAAAAACGATCGAAATTGCAAGATAAAGGGGAAGTTATGATCTTTGTTGGATATCGCCCAACTGGCGCATACAAGCTCTACAATCCAATCAAAGAAAAGATCGTGCCGAGCATAGATGTGATTATACTTGAGGATGAAAGATGGACTGGAATCACAAACAGACCAGCCTGAAGAAGCCAGCTGGAGACTTGTGATCGAACGACATGAAGACTTGCTGACCGAGTGGTGTTCTGAACCGAATAGTAGAGATCTTCTACACCGATCAGCAGAAGGGCACGGGAGTTTTAATGAGTCAGCAACAACTCAGAGGCCACGTAGGAAAATTGTAATGCCACCAAGATACATAGATTATGAGATATATTTTGATACAGGAATTAATGATGAGGGAGATCTTATTCGCATAGCATTGATGGCCGAGGCAGAACCAGCAAACAAGGATGAGGCTCTATGACAACCGGTTTGGAAGAATGCTATGATAGAAGAGCTCAGATCCATAAAAAAGAATGAAACGTGGAAATTGGTTGATCTTCTAGCTGGAAAGCACTACATTGGGGTAAAGTGGATTTTCAAAAGGAAGTTGAATCCGAACGGCACAATTTCGAAACACAAGGGAGGCTTGTGGCTAAAGGGTTTCTTCAAAAACGAGGAGTGGACTTTGATTAGGTCTTTGCACCAGTTGCAAGGTTGGAGACCGTTCGGTTAGTGGTAGCATTGGCCTGCGCAAGGGAATGACCATTGTTTCAACTTGATGTCAAATCAGCTTTCTTACACGGACCTCTGAGAAGGAGGTTTATGTTCAGCAGCCCCTAGGTTTTAATAAAACATGCGAGGAGCATAAAGTGTATAGACTCTGGAAAGCACTATACGGATTGAGACAAGCACCGAGAGTGTGGAACAAGAGAATTGATGCCTTCTTCATCAAACAAAATTTCAAGAGATGTGTTGTCGAGCATGGATTGTATGTGAAAGGTAGTCCAGGTAAAGAAATAATTTGTTTGTATGTAGATGATCTATTAATAACAGGATCAAACTTGGAAGATATAGATGAGTTCAAGAGGTTAATGGAAGCTGAGTTCGAGATGACCGACCTTGTAAAGTTAAAATATTTCCTAGGAATGGAGGTTACTCAAACTACTACCGATCTTGTGATGCACCAGCAGAAGTATGTGAGAGAGCTTCTCGAACGGTTTAAAATGACTTCATGCAACTCAGTTAAAAGTCCTTTGGAGGTCAACGTCAAGTTAAGGAAAGATGAGACCGAAGAGGAGGTAAATGAGACAACATATATGCAGATAGTTGGATCACTGTGGTTTTTGTGCAACAACAGACGCAATTTGATGTTCAGCGTTGGACTGATCAGCAGGTTCATGAGCCAACCAAGGAAGAGCCACATGCTTGCTGCCAAACGGATACGTCTGATTGTGGAATTCTGTTTCAAGCTGGAAGACGTAAAGATGAATTGAAGCTCATAGGCTACGGTGACTTAGACTATGGGGGAGATCAAGTGGAAAGGAAGAGTACGTTGGGGTACATATTCTTCATAAATGAAACAACTATCTCATGGTGTTCCAAAAAGCAGTCAGTCGTTGTCTTGTCAAGTTGTCAAGTTGAATACATAGTTGGATGTTATGCCGCATGCCAAGGAGTTTGGCTTATGGAACTCATGAGAGAACTAAAGTTACTCAGAGAGAGGCCAATACAACTGAGAATGGATAATACATCTGCCATAAATTTAGTAAGAAATCTTGGAAGTCATGGTAGGAATAAACACGTAGAAACATGATGAACAAAGAAAAAATTGAGTTAGTCTACTGCAAGACTGAACGACAGTGGACGAATATCTTCACAAAACCACTAAAAATTAACATATTTGAGCACTTGAAAAAAGTTATGTCTTTGAAAAAGGGAGAGTATTAGAAAAGCTTACATGTGTCACATTTCAAAATTTAGTTTTTTCAGATAATTCTGTTATAGTTTAATGTAAATACATCACATACTCCAGTGTGAAAAACGAGGCTTGTCAACACATTCTAATACAATTTATTTTCAATTTTCACTGTTGAGTTTTTCTTTCGCTTGCCGGTTGGTCACCTCGTGCTCCGTTCACACGTTTGGCCTTTGCCGCTCTGACACGGGCCGCTGCTCGTTCAACCATCTTTTTCTTGCTTTCCTAACAAGCTGCCTGTGTGTTGCGTGTTCTGTAAGAGAGATAAATAAGATATGACAGAAAAGAATATTATACATGCACACTAACAAGATAAAAATATCTTTGACTAAAAATATCTTTGACAACTTTTTTATTTTTTAAAATATTAAAAATTTTTTAGTTACGTGATAAGTTAAGCATTTTAAAAAATTTTAGAATCAAGGAACTGGAGGTGGAGGAAACCCTCTTTGGAACATAAAGACCGAAAGACCAAATAAATTGAATCCTTGTCAAACTAAATTCAAGGGTACCATCGTAATTACAAATGAACACGTACATGACGAAAATACAAAACCAATGGACGCGTGTCAGGAAATGGGAATGGTTAAAAGGATTGGAATGCGAACATTGCAGAAACAATTATTACTTTCCATCACCATGTGACCATTGCTGAAACAATTATTAGTTTGCATTATTAGTTTGCTTTGGGATGCAAGCACAATAATTGAAAATAAAGACAAACACACCAACCTATGCAGAGCGGTGATCTTTTTAATATAGTTTTTAATTATTTTTATTTTTAATGAAAACATAATAATTTTTTATTTTTTTACAAAATAAAAAAAATTTAAAAATTACAAACTAACACGTAACACCTCTTTAAAAATATTAATATACTATTAAAAAAACATAATTACATAAATTTTTCCAAATTAAAAACTAAATCAAACAAAATAAAAATAAAAAAAAATTGATTTACAATCTCATTACAAAAATGACGTGAATAAATATATTTAATCTAATTAAATATTTTTCTTCAACACATAATTGTTTACAATAATTTTACTTTTAAGATAATAATTTTAATTATATTAATTTTATCAGTGATAAATAACTAAATATCTGTTTGATTTTAACAATTAAGAAAAATATCCATTAAAATGACTACTTCACGAAAACATTCACCTTACACTTATTTTTAATAAGATATCATATTATAATAAAATAATAATTATATTAATGTAAAGTGAAAAAAAGGTAATATGATAGTAATAATTATCACGTATATATTAATTAGAAATTTTAATGTTAATATCTAATTAAAATTATTACTTTAAAATTGTAATTTTCTTTATTATATTATAAATAAAATATACTAATCCTTCTTGTATATAATATTATAGTGAAGTGGGTGCAAAACCAGTAGTATATCCATGGCGGATAAGGAACTGCACATTGTTGTGTTTCCATGGCTAGCCTTTGGACACAATGTTCCATTTTTGGAGCTTGCAAAGCTCATAGCTCAAAAGGGTCACAAAATTTCTTTCATTTCCACACCTAAAAACATCCATCGCCTCCCAAAACTTCCTGAAAATCTGAAACCTTTGTTGCATCTGATAGAATTCCCACTCCCCCACGTTGAAGAACTCCCTGAAAATGCAGAGAACACGCTGGACACTCCTCCGCACTTGGTTCCATACCTCTTCAAGGCTTACGATGGTCTTGAAGAACCTTTGACTGAATTTCTGGAGAAGAGCACCCCAGATTGGGTCATATGCGACTTTGCACCACACTGGCTGCCCCCACTGTCTTCCAAGCTGGGTATCCCATGCATATTTTTTTCTAGTTTTGCTGCATGTGCTTCGTCTTTTGGTTTGGAGTTGTTTAAGGGAAAGAAGAGTATGGAATCTGGGGAAGCCAATCTTTTGCGTAATGCGCATAAGAGGACGCAAGTGGGTCAGAGTTCTCCGCCTAAGGAAGTGAATCGGTTCTTAGAAACCCTGAAAGGTGTTCAAGTTTTCGCTACAAGAAGCTGCATGGAGATTGAAGGCGAGTTTGTGAAATCGCTTGAAAGTTTATCTGGGAAGTTGGTAATTCCAACTGGGTTGCTTCCAGCTTCGCCAGAAGACAGCAATGACCACAACTGGCACACCATTCTTAATTGGTTAGATAAATGGGAAAAGGGGTCAGTGATCTATGTAGCATTTGGAACTGAGGTCAAGCTGAGTGATGAAGACTTCACTGAAATTGATGTGGGATTGGAATTGTCTGGTTTTCCTTTTTTTTGGGCTGTGAAGAATCGAAACATCTCAGGTGGTAGTGTTGAGTCACATGATTGGATTGAGAATGAGTCAAAAAGGGGAATGATTTGGGGAACATGGGCACCTCAGTCAAGGATTTTAGCACACAAATCTGTTGGAGCATTCCTCACTCACTGTGGTTGGAACTCAGTGATAGAGGGTCTCCAAGTTGGGTGTCCACTTGTAATGTTGCCCTTCCAATATGATCAATGGTCAATTGCTAAGTTTATGGAGGAGAAGAAGGTAGGTGTTAAAGTACACAGAAATGAGCATGATTCCAAGTTCACTAGGGATTCAGTGGCCAAGGCACTGACATCAGTGATGACGGAAGAGGAAGGGAAATATCTTAGAAAAGAAGCACAAGAGATGAGTAAAATAGTTGGGGACAAACAACTGCAACTAAAATATGTGAATGAGTTTGTTGATTACATGAAAAACAATAGGTCTGGCTGTAATTAGTATAATGGCAAGTTAGACTTTGATTTCTCTTAGAGTTTGCCAATCTAGGAGCAACTCAGTCCAACCTAGAAGTGTACCAAGGAGCCTACCTATCTTTACAATGCTTTTTCTATCTTAGTTATGTCTGCGTTTTTTCTTAAATTAGTCAGATTTCCCTTCAAGAATATGCTGCCAAGAAATAATGTCTGCAAAATGAGGAATGTTGGTTTGTCAGAAAGACGCTAAGAAGAAGCAATAAAAATTAGTTTGAGTTTTGTGTTTGGAATGAGTATTAGTTGTAGAATTTTCTGAATGACATATATTGTTTTGATTGTGTAGTTTGTAGTTCTGTACATTTTCACAAATCTGATATGTTTATATCTAGTCAATGAATTTAGACACTCTAGAGAACTACCTAGTATTATCAATATAGTTGTTCCATGTTTAGAAACATAGTTCTTTTATTTTTTTGTAACTTAATCTAGAATAAGTAACTACAAAGACTATGTAGAATTAAGAAAAGCCGTCTTAATCTCCTATAATACATGGTGAAGATGAACTTCTTTTTCATCAGTTAAATCTCCGTCTCCTAATGTCTAACAAGAGATAGAGACTCTATTATAGAAGCATTGGAACAGAGCATTGGATTGTCAATAAAAGCATTGGAATATAGCATAGATTTTTCCTCAGAGAGACAAATTCCATCTTGATCATCCCTCGTATGCAGAAATAGGTAGAGGGTCAGAGGATTTGCATTTTGTCCATCATAGTAGTTTAAACTTTCTTTGTAATAACTTTGAGGGATTAAAGTTGTGATAAGTGTTGTGTCTGAAGTTGAGGAGCTGCCAGAGTAGTGGGAGGAAAACAAGGCAGTGCCATGTGATGTTGCAATTGCAACTTCCTTTGTGCAATGTTTCTCCTCAAAACTTGTATGTCTTTGAAACTGAGTCCACCCACTTAAGCCCTTTTCTGTTATATCCAGTGTAGCAGAATGTTGAAAAATATAGAGATAGAAAAAGTTGACAGTGAAAACAACTTAGAACAAGAAAGAGAGTAGGACAAATGGGAGCAGAGAATTCAAAATTTACATTCAATTGACAAGTCCAAGAAAATGTGAAATGATCTAAGGATAGAAATCCCAAATAGAAAGTTTAAAGTAGGTTTTGAATCTTTCCTCTTTTTTTGCTCTTCCAATATACAAAAGTGTTGTCTTTTATTTATTTATTGTGTCCAAACCGAGTAAATTCTCTATTTTGGCTTGACCATTTGTTTGTCCATATGAACATAACTAGCCCCTGTTATGGAAGTGGATCTTCCCTTCTTCGTACCTTTAACTCGACACCTCCGTATTCAATGTCAAATCTGTACCCAAAGAATCATAATAAATCATCTCCCTCCCTCCCTCTCATAATTAATACTTTGCATAATTAATATTTGACATAGAAGTATTTAATAAATTATAGTTATTCATATAAGCTCACAAGAGTGATCCAATGTCGGATCAAGTTTGTATGACTTCGTAATTTACCGTATCAAACTAACATGACTTGTTTTTTTATAACTTTTTTCAAACCATTATTTTAATGATTTTTTAAAAGTTATGATCTAACAATCTAACATTTAAACTACGCATTTTTAGGCATGTACTAAGTAAGTGTAGCCGTAGATAATAGACAGTGAATTTTTTAGTATAGCAATATTTTTAAAGTTGTTGCTTAAAATCCTCATAATAGGAGGCAATTTCCATATTGAGTTTAGACTAGACTTATATAAATGTTGCATTTTAACTTTTTATTAAAATGTAGTTGTATTAGATTTTTTCTTTAATTTTACATAGATTGTTTGTATAAATTGAAAAACTTGTATATGTCTTCAAATTACAATATTACATAATTAGACACCACACTGTATTAATAACACTTCAAACAATATTTATACGTAAAATATCCATAATTGAAATCATAATAAATGTCATTAATACGTGTATTCCAATGTTAGAGTTCAAATTACATGATTAAAAATTATAATATATCTAAAATTGTTTCTTTACTACATAAAAACATTTCACTATTCTATAAAATTATTCTTATTGTCTTTATGGACTTTATTATCTCCATGTTCTTTAAGCTACCAACAACACGCTTCACCCTACACCTCCAACCCTTAACCCCAATTTTCTTAAATACCCTTTAATTAATAGAGGTGGTTATATGAGAATTTTTGTGTGTGCATTAAGTGAAGCCTTCAAATCATTGAATATAATGTTTTGAAGACATGTACCCTATTTCACCTATGTTAAGTGTTTGTACACTATGTATCTCATTTTCTTTATCGTTTTTTATTGAGTCTTCTCCTTATTCTTTCGTTGAGTTTTGAGAGATTGTTAGAGCATTTCGTTGAGTATTGAGGTTGTTCAAGGTAACTTGGCAGCTTGGAAGTATTGGAGGCAGCTTGGACGTGAAGGTTCAAGGTAGCTACAAGCGGTGACAGATTAGACACTGGAGCGTTTTTAAAGATTCTCCTTCCAGATATATGATTTTATATTATCGAATTTGTATATGCTACATCAAATGTCCATATTAGAAGAAAAATAAAACTTCAAAAAACATTACAATACAGATTGGATGTCAACATTTGATGTTGTGATTTTTGGATATCAAAACACGATAAAGAGAATCTGATGTTGAAAACCGGTGTTCTTTTTTTCAATTTTCCATTTCCAATACATTATTACTGTGTTGAATGAAATCCAATGCTGCTTTACGTTAATTAACTTTGCCTTTTGTTTCCCTAATCCAATTGGTTTTTTTCTTTGCACGATCCCAATTGATATTCTAGTAACATTGATTATTATGTTTATTATTCATTTATCAGCCTTATTAGTATTTATAAATTAGCATTAATTTTTATTTCTTGATTTTGATTTGTGGTTTTGCTGGAAACGTGTAATATTAAAAGAATTAGATTTATAACAAATGAAATGAACTCAACATTTATGTTAATTTAATTTTTATAATTATTTAATTTTGTTAATATAAAAAATGTATTTTAAGTGTTTAGTTTTTGTAATATTAAAATATATTTTTATAATTATTTAATTTATTTTTAAGTTTATTAGATTATTTATAAATGTTGTATTTATTGTATTAGTTTATGATTTTTTAATTTTATTATAAATGTTTAATTTATTCTATTAGTATTTGAATTTTTCTATAGAGTAAATGGTATGATTTTTTTTTAAATTTTTTTTAAAAAAATTGGTATTTAAAATTCATATGAAAATTTGAAATAATTTCTTATGTAGTTTTAGGTCATATTATTTTGTTCTTTGTTTTCATTTTATTAGATTATTTATAAATGTATAAATTATTATATTAGTTTATGATTTTATAGTTTAATTATAATTGTTGAATTTATTGTATTAGTTTTTTATTTTGTTTTTTAATGATGTAAACACTTATTTTCTGTTTTATATTTTAAATTTATTACATTATTTTATTTATCTAAATGTTTAATTTATTCTATTAATTTTTTATTTTCTTAAAAAAATATTATAAAATAAATTGTATGACTTTTTTTAATTTATTAAAATAAAATTGGTATGTAAAATTGATATGAAAATTTTAAATGATTTTCTCGGTAGTTTTAAAAACATATTAAATTAAGAAAAATATTAAATTCTATAAAATTATAAAAATATTTTAAATGAATATTAAATAATTAAAACAATTAATTTTAATTCAAAATAAATTTAATTAATTAAAATATTTATATAATTATAAAATTCTAACATTTCATTAAAAAAAGTAACAAAATATCTTAAAATTATAAAAAAATAAAAAGCTATAACTCAATGTAATTAAAATAAAAATGAAAAAAATAGAAAACAAAAAAAATTGAAAACAACAAAATTTAATCAAAATATAAATTATTAATTAATTAAAATAAATATATGTATTGTAACATCTCATTTTTAATAGTAAAATACTACTAAAATGAAATATTACATATAAGATAATGAAACCACTCTATAAAAAAAAACCTACAAATGACAAGGTCTACATTTGTAGAATCATCTGACTTCCCAATTTATTCATCTCACCTCCTATAGGAACAAGTGGGAAAGACTGTATCCCTAAGCTCACACCATTCAGGTGATTATCACAAAGAGAAACAACACACAACATACAACACAGAAGCACGAGTAAGCTAGATATCAAAGGAATCATATCACATTTATAACATAGCATACATAAATCATTTATATCACATACATCAACCCAAACATCTTAACATGCAAAGACCTAGATTGACTATCAAAATTTAGTATGAATGTCGAGCTGTGACAGGTCGTGCACTTGTGGTGGCCTCTACTGCTTTGCAAAGCCATTGCCAACAAGTTTCACCCTACCACGCTCACAAGGTTAGTTTGTTCCAGGCCTTGAACCATACTGGAAGCCCTCAAGACTAAGACTTCCTTCTACTCCTCATCATATGTGTCAATCCTCTATACTTGAGAATGAAAAACCATTGGAGTTTAAGATAATCCCCAAGACTGAGCTCCCTGCATTTATACTAATGATACTTGAATCTCACCAAGAGATTCCACTTTGAAACTTACTTACACAACTTTGAACACCTTTGGAACCATGTACATATGCCACTTTACTTTCACATTGAATACCAACATATATCATCTTTAATCATACATCAAATACATGCATAACTTCAAGAATAAACCTTCATGAATACTATAAAGATTTCTACACCATCCTCAAAGTCAAATCATAGCTTAAAGTTATCATAAAACAAAGAAATATTCAAAACAGATTCTGGACTAGTCGCTTAGCGCACCAAAGCTGTGCAAAAGCATATACAGTGGGTTTTGCTCACTCAACTCTCGCTCAGTGGGGAGTTCGCTTAGCTAGAAGTGTTCTACTCGCTCAACGGACACGAACTCGCTGTGCGAAAACAAAACAGTGGGTTCTACTCACTCACCTCTAGCTTAGCGGAGAGTTCGCTCAGCTAGAAGTGTTCTGCTCGCTCAGTGGGGAGTTCACTCAATGAGACTACATAATTCTGCAGTACTAAAACTGCAAAATTTGCATTACTCAACCCCTCAAAACCTAATTTATGCATCTTTCCCAACTTCTAGCACTCGTAGATTGTATTAAACACTCAAATGGACCTAAACAAGACCTAAACAAATGTATCTAAACAAACCTAAACCCATTTTAAAGTGATTGATCACAAGATTCCAATCCAAAATTAACTAAAACCTCACTTTATAGA